CATCATCTAGGTTTTTGGAGTTTTTTTCATTTGTGGATTGAACCTTGTTGACCTTGTCGAGCTGTAAACAGAGGATTGAGTTTCGTATCATTTATACCTTTGTTGATGAATTTCTATATTCATAGGCCTTGAAGGCCTTATATGAACGTATAAAACAAATATTTCGGTCGACCCATTGACCGTATATTTGTTTGATAATTCGAGCCGTGTCAACTCCTATCTATCCATATAGAAGGATCGGGATCGAACTACATTCATTTATTGACTCACGCAGCATCCCTAGATATTATACCTGTACCCATAACACGCTCACAATGGCCCATACAAGTTGTATGATTACACACACCCTTTTTGTGTACCTATGTTCATACATATTACAATGCGTGTGCGAGGGCATTTTCAGGTATCTGACAGATGTACTGCGACGGCACATAGAAGCTCGTGCTTGTCGTAACCCTTCTATATTTGCTCGTAGGTAATATGTTAGATGGACAACCACTGTTCATCAAGAAGCTTGCAAGCCTCAATAATATTTACCAACTCAATGTTCGGAAATTGATTGAACTAAGACTCACTCCATTTTCTGAAGGTAATGGTTTGATCTGGCTTTCTCTTCCCAGAACTGGTATAGAGATCGATATGCAATTCCCTAATTATGCCATCATCATCAGTTTATGTTGTTGTCTTAATTAAAAAATCAATCATTTCAACATTGGATGATTGTGTTCTTGCTGATGTCCTATACGTCGAAATCAAAGGTTACTTCCTTGAGCGGACATTGTAGCGATTGGAGGCACATCGAATCGTATAAGAGAAATATGCAAGGCATCCATTCCTCAAATAATCGTTAAAGTCCATGAGATGATTGGAATAGTAGACAAACCACTATATACACAACCATTCATTTGTTGTCACCAGGTATTTGATCTTATTGTAATTCTCTCACATTATGCTTGTACATAGCATCTTTGATGTACATCTGTATTCACAAGACCTCACATTTGTAGTACATTTACTATTGTCTCATGCGGATGATATGTTGTATACATATTTGTGTTCACAAATACCCACGAGTCTCTTATAATCACTTGTGGATGGACTATTGTTTGTGTTTGCAAATTATGTATTCACTTGTATGCATTTCATTATCGTTCATTAACACTCACAAGTCTCCTACCGTCGCTTGTAAACATTCATCATGAATCTTCTAGTACTGCAAGCATATATTTTCATTGCAATTCTTCTGATGTCGCTTGTGGAATAATATCTAGTGACAGTGTTGGTAATTTCATCAAAGCTTGTTGCCCTTGTCCTTCCACAAATGACAATGTTCATACTACAGGCTTTCTTCTGCCTGCAGACTAGTTGTGTGATTCTTATCATCATTCATGAATAGTTCGTTATGTATTTTACAAATTCATTGTCACTTGATATGTTCGTTTGCAATTGAGAGTTGATTTACCACGAGTCCTTAACATATACTTGTATATAAATTGTCACAATCATTTCATGTTCCATGTAGATTGTTCAAGTCAATCAATTAGCATAAACCTTCACTATCATTTGCGAGTGAATGATGCTAAAGATCACACGCTCTTCATTGTCTTCAAACACAGCTTGTAGTTCATAAGGGACTTATGTGTGGATGATAATTTCACTATGCACCTTGTGTGATTGCTCGGCACCAATCATCTTCAATCACTTAAGAGCATGATTGAGATGCATTGCTTGTATTCATGGCATGACTCATTTTTGTTCAATCAATTGCTATTTAGGAGTGAGTTATGACCTATATTGCAAACCAACCATCATGCTCCAATGGTCTCATATGATGGCTTTGTAACTAAGTCATGCCTTTTACAATTTTCTTTTTTGTGTTCATCAACATCTCTATTTCAATTGAGATGATTATTGCAATTTTTCATTGCCCAAAAATCTCATGTTAAAGCATATAATCACTTCATGCATGAATATTTTATTTTATCATTCATATAGTTCATGATTTTTCTTATTAATATTAGACTTTAGTTCAAATTTAAATTTAAGTTAATTTATTCGAAGTACATTCAAGCTCAACATAAGTTCCCTGCTATCTAAAGTTGATCCAAGTTCTTTGTTGTTCAAGTAGCAAATTCAAGTTATATGTCCCTTGTTGTCCTTTCAGATCAATCAAGTTCAAGTTCAAGTCCTTATATCTTTAGTCCAAATTTCGGCAATCTCCCGTCGTCTCTCCCGTTTAGGGGAAAAACCAAGAGGCAACATTCCCCTCCACGCTACATGAGCACTTCAGGTAGATGTCGGGTGACACCGCAGCTGCATTTTCTTCAATTCACGCTACGCTAAATGAGAGTTTAAGGGTCTCGGGCACCTGTTAAAAAATAACACAATTGTTTCCCCACGTATGGCTACTTACTTTTCATATCCCTCATGCTACTTGAGTGCTCCAGGGATTACCCACCTCATCGCAAGCGTAGCACCGACTTCCCTACCCCGTGCTACATGAGCGCATAGGGAGGTTTGTCGGCTCGTCGTAAGCGTCGAGAGTGGAATTTTTGAGTTAGAAATATCATACCTTCGCAGAGAGTTGGCAATGACGACGGGGTGTAAGCGATGAAATGTACAAAACTCTTTTTTTTTTCTCTTTTTTTTGTAACTCTCACTTTTTTTAACTCTTTTTTTCTCTTTTTTTTTTTCTTTTTCTTTTTTGACTTCTTCAGTCTCTCCCTATATATATATATATATAAGAGTAGTAATAAAGTTAATATTGACAACAATGATAATATTAGTTAACATCAAATATTAATATAACACATGTTAATAATAATAATAACAACAGACTTATTAATATCAATATACACACATAAATAAATATACATAATATATAATAATAATTAGTTATTAATTAATTAATACTAACTAATAGTCTTTACCTTAACTGAGTCGAATTAGCCTGTTGATGAAGGAGGTCGGATGAGGGTTAAGTATTCGGCTGCTTGAAGAATAAAGATGGGTTTGATTTGGATTTGCGACTTATAGATGTGGAGGCCGACGGGATCAGGTGGAGTTTGGAATGTAGAGTAGGAGCTTCAGTCGATGCAGATGGATGGGAGACTGTTTGGAAGAGGTTTTGACAGGAGGCAAGAGGTCGGGGCTTGAGGTTGACTTGTGAGGTTCGACGGCTGGAGGTTTGGGAAGAAGCTTGCGGTTGCTTGTGTATAGTTCGACAAGGAAGAGGTGTCGAAGGAAGCTTGGCAGGCAAATGGAGGTGAAGAAGGCTTCGATTGGGGTAGCTCTAGAAGTCGGAAGCAGCGATCGAGCTCGAGGGGATTTAATGAGTTCGGTAAAGAGAGCAGGGAAGAGGCGGATACCCTGGGTAGATCGGATCGGGTTGAAGCTTTAAGCTTTGGATGAGGGTCGAATGTGGGAGAGATCTGACTGCAATCAGTCGGTTGGAAGTGTGGCTGTAGATAGAGACGGACCCGATGCGGTCTGCCTTGGATTTAGGAGGCTTGTGATATGGAAGTCAGCTAGGGGACTTTCGAATGGAGCTTCGTCGTGAGGTTAGAAACTGGAAGGTCGGAGATTCTGGAGTTGGAAGACTGGGTGTTTGAAGGCTTGCAGGGTTTGGAATGTGAATAGCAAAAACAAAAAAAAAAAATAATTGATTAAACAAAAATAATTGGCTAGACCAAATGATTTTCCAACCTCCTAGGGGTGCTTAAGGGTAATTAGGTTCTTTATACAACTAATCTGATTGAGGTCTTGTAGGGGAGAACCGAAGAAGGTTTTGACGAAGAAGCAGGAGGTTGGCAAGGAGAAGATTGCTTCATTGGAAGAGAAATATAGGGGTTTAGCTGATTGGAGAATGGTAACTCCTCTCCAAATAATAGCAATTTCTATCAACTTCTCAACTTCTTGGGTAATTAGGTTCTTTGGGCAGCTAGTCTGAGGGTAAAGTTAGCATGGGTCAAGCTAATTAGTTCGGATAACCTTAAATCTAATTGGGCTAATACTGAGTTCAACCTAGGTTCAACATAGGTCTAGGCCAATTTTAGCTAGATTCGCTAATTCCTAGGATGCCACCGAGTTCATAAGGTCAAGTGAGGGTGAATTCAAAGTTACTTTTGGTTTGGATCTACCCAATGGAGCCAAAAGGTCCATTAATTTGATTAAAATTTGATTCAACCTACGTTCAAACTAGGTTTAGGCCACCTAGAGCTAAATCCAATGAGTCCTAGGATCTCACTTGTTCGTATCGAATGAAGGTGAGGCTAAATTGGGTAAAGGGTCCAGCTAAGTCTAGTTCAATCCCTTCAAAATTCATAGGGTCATAAAGTCCTCAAACACCTCATGAATCAAACCATGGTGGAAAAGTGTCCATCTAATGCCAACTGATCAAACTAGCACTAATGACCCACATTGAGCTTAAATCTGATCAGCCTCAAACTTGCCTAACCTAAGGCAAAGATCATAGCCTAACCAATTCTTGCATGTTACCTAGGAGCTCATGCATCATTCCTGCTATCAATTAAACATTCATATGATGGCTTGATGTTGATCTATAATTTTTTAGCTAAAATTAAAGTTACTATTTTCATAGAGATGGATAAACACTTCATATTGTTTATTATACCATTGCACTTCCAATAAAGTGATTCCTTTTACACACTTCTCAGGACCCATAAAAAAGATGTCAAATAAATAAACGCTCACCACAGGCAAATAAGCCACTACATAACATCAATTACCTGCAAGATTCATGCGAGGTAGGACATGTTGCAAATAATCAATTTTTTTATCAATTTACAATTATTTCTTAAACTCATCTCCGCCAGATATATATGGGCATCCTCAGTTTTAGAACATCTAAAATGGAAACACAAAAACTTACCTTCTATAACAAAAAATATAAAATAATTGGCTTAATTAAAACTTTCATTGCTTTTTATACAAATTAATGCTACTTATAAAATCATATTTCAGTAAAATACAAATACTCATGAGAAATCATCAACCATAAACTTGATATAGCTACTTCAGCTGTTATTATGTTCCATATCAACATTTCAAAAGTAACCTTTGAAAATGCTCGCTACTTATCTTGCATGTCATCAATTATTTGTTCATTAAATTTTGACATTGTCAAAATTAAAATTTAATGAGATGTACTAATAACAATCATTCGAAGAAAAGAACCCTAAACTTCAATTTCACGAACTATAAAACCTGTCACAATAGCTGGACAGGCTTACGTGATTAAAAAGGCGGGATCAATCAAAGATCCCCACAAAGCTTGAAGATAATGATTTTTTAGAAATTCAAAGAGGAAAACATAATATTATCAGCATTTCAAACAACAGCTCTCCAACTGCGAAGAGCTGCCCATAATATTAGAGGCAAATGGAAATTTGATGAACAAAAAAGGGTAAGAGTAAGAAACCTGCATTCCAAGTGCCATTCCTTTAATCATTTTCTAGCAAGATCTATACCTTTGTTGGCTCCTCTGATCTGAGTTCCAGATTGTTTTAAAGCCAATAATAAGCATTAAGTGTACCCTGCACACCTCTAGTAACTGCTCGAACATATCTTTTGGTGACTAGCTTTCAACATCCACGTTGTGGGAGGAACTTTGAATATTGTATTCAAGTGCCATACAACAACAAAAACATCAAGCCTTTTTCCCACTACGTGGGGTCGGCTACATGAATCTTTTTTCCCCAGTGTGTCCTGTTAAAAGTCAAATTCATTCAAGTGCCATAATAAAACAAAAATATCAATATATTTCTTTCAGTATTGAGTTATCTAAGTCTATCTTAGAAGAAATATGATTTACAATTGGTGCCTCCTTATCTGGAATAACTGCCGAAGTAAAGCTCATATATTTAGATTAGCGGAGTTCAGTTAGTACATTGAATTTCACTTTGTCTAATATTAAAAAACAAACCAATAAGATGAAAAAATTCGGAACAAAAACAGGCAGAATGCATTGAGTCAAGTATCAGATTTAAACATCTAATTAGGGAAGGATAATTGGAACATATACTTCCATCAAAACTACAAAAAATTATACTTATAATCATATAGACAAGTATTAAAAAAAACATAATTTCAGGTATTATATATGACACAGTAATGAGAAGTGATCTGTCAACAACCTATGCAAATTATACGGTATCCATGTGTTAGTTGCTATGCACCTAAAAATATTGGAAAATGTAACACCATCAATAGACAATACAAGACGCTTCATGAAAAGATGCAAAAGAAGATGCAATGTTATCACTGATTACTGAATGAATATGACGAGTTGTAACTTAATGGAAAGTAGATCACTGCCAGAAAGCAAAAGGTGAAGAGATAAAGCATATGGGCAACCAATAAATTCAAAAAACAAATGGTTAGTAAAGAATAACTAGCTGAGGTTTAACAAAATATAGAAGCGAATACTAACTTGTACTCTGGTGAAAACCAAACACTTGAGACCCTTTATTGGGTCAAAACAAAGACATCAATAGGAAAATGAGATTGCTTCAGTAGTTTTGCGGCAAAAGGTGATCATAACAGAAGATTTTATGACAACTATTTCAGCACACTATAATGCAAGGGCGGGTCCCTTGAAGTTATAGCTCATGGTGTCTAGTATGGCATGCACTATAAATACCATAAATAGCAAAACATATAAACCATGTGAAACCTATAAATAATTCAACAAAACCAAAAACAAAATCTATAAAGAAACACGATATTACATAAGTAGAGCCTAAGAGTATTAAACTTCAACATACATACAGCTTAACAAAAAAAATTAGATTACCAATAAACTATTAAAACAAGGAAAGCAAATAGATGATAAATATAACCATCAAGATTATAGCAATACAACGTTAAAATACATACAAAACATTGGAGCTTCGACTTTCAGAAAGAAACATGATAGAAAATACTTAGTTGGGAATTCTTATGCCTAACAAATTAGTACTAGTTTGTTTATAAATCTCGTATTCAAATTCAAAAACAAAACTAGTCATATATGAAATTATTATCATTATAAACCAAAATAGATTCATATTATTCATCATTATCATCTCCTAATTAATTTTCTTCACCATCCTCATCTTTTTCAACGAAATAGCCTCATTCTAATCATATCATGAGATCTTAGTAAAAGAGTGAACTATTCGGATCCTGCGGTCTTTGCCAATGCCAATACACTAAACACAAAGTGCAAATAGCGTGAAATTTAGATTATATGTGCCTTGCAACAATGATGGTACATGGTATGCACCTCGCTGCATTGCGAGCTCTTTTGTGTTATGTAGTGCTATTAATAAGAATGCAATGACAAGACAATTTAGCTTTGTTACATGCTAAAATCTAGGAAACATGAAAGTGTGGTATCAAATTTGTGTTTTAATACTAGCAATTTGTCCGTGCACCCCTAGGATTTTGCTTTTATGCACCATATGAAATAGGAATAAATACCTACTTCTTTGCAAATGAATATATCAAAAAGAGGCCAAAAGAAGAAAATTTTGAAAGCAAGACAATCTCAAAAACTTCCAAATAGAATGAATTTTTATCAGCAAAATAAACATGAAATACATCACTGATTTGCTCAAGTCACAGCTTGCAGAACTATTGAAGAGCCATCGAATAAAGAGATTCCAACTTGAGTGCTAGATAGGGAAAATTAGAGACCATGGATTCATTGCATAGAAGAAAATCTCTCCCACGGATTCTTATACAAGAAAGGAAAGAATTAGCCAACGAAATTGCTCCCTTGGCATCAATTGGCGACCTTAACAAGTCAAACAGTGGGCAGTCAGTTGCTAGGAGGCAGACCTGCTAGAGAGATAATAGCTAGGGGCAATTTTTTTTTTTTTTTTTGGGGGGGTTTGATGTTGTAATTATTTATAGCATTTTTCTTCAATGTAGCATTGTGCATAAATGTTCATTGAAATAATAAGCAATCCAATCTTTCCTGGCCACTTATTTTCTACATAGTATTAATGCAAGATTAGAGTCTACTTTTCCAATCCTAGTTATTCCTCTCTTATATATTTTTTTCTCTTCATTATTTCTTATTTCTTTGATTTCACATTCAAGAAGTCAACCATCATGAATGATGAAAATCAAATTAAAAGATAGCAACAGAGGCTACATGCCTCATATCACTTGAATCAAAGAAACTATCTAAAGTAGTCCCAAATTGTGAATACTTTTAAAGGAAATAAATTTATCATCTTATGGATGCTCTTCTAAAGTTGAAAGACCTAAAAGTTACACTTTGGGATGAAGCAAATTCAATGGTCATAGTGTGGTTATGGAACACACTGATTTGAAAATAACCACAAACAGTGTTTGAAATGCTATCAAACAAACATACTCAAAAGTTAAAGTTGTTGCAATTTTTAGTTTCTTTCTTGACTCAACAATGAATTCAACCAAGTTCATATTTAGATTTTAATAGAAAAAAAAAACTTACTATCTCTGAATGAAATCTTCTCAATCATGCGAGCCAAATACGGAGGAATAATAATAATACTTAACAACACTATCTCAAAAAACCCACTATGAAAACTATTGAACCCGACGGTATAAGACCTATTGTCATTAATTTTTCTCAAAAAGAATGAAGATCTTCTTTCATAGGCAATCTACAATGGTATTGCTGCAAAGAAGGTACACAACAAAGATAAATGTTGAAAACTCCATGGAAAAAACCTTTGTTATGATCGAAACAAAGATCAATCAAAAAGGAAGGCTTGTTTTGTAAAATTAGAGGAGCTCAACTCAAAGAATACGATAAACTCAAGAATTTCCTCATCTCCTTAGAAAAATCATCCAAGTTGTGTTCTCTAGCTCAAAATGATACGAATAATAATTATTGTATTGTAATGCTTCAAATAGTTCCCCTTACACCTTGATCCTGCCAACCTTTACAAACTTATATATGCTATCCTGACAATCGAAAAATAAAACTAACCAATAATTTCCTAATAATTGTTGCAAGTCAAAGGAATATTCTTTTTTCTCCTACATTTACACTCAACAATATACTAAATTATCCTCACCTTGCAATTAAATTTGTTATCAATCAATAAAATCACTAAAGAATACAACTTCAACATGAGTTTTTTCACTAATTATTATCTTGCAATACCTCACTATGGAGAAAGAAGATTGGAAAACTGATACGCCTTGGATGCAAAAACAGTAAAATAGAGAACAACAGCGTAGAAACACAAAAATATGGATAATTTTCTTATTTCTTCTTCAATAATAAAACAAGAAACAATTGATCTACTATTTAAGAGGTAGATCAACTCTCCAACAAATCCTAGAAACCGCAAGAAACTCACAATAAAAACTAGGAAAATAAACTCAGCAATCTTGATATAGGACTACGTGAGGATGAAATGATTTTGTTTAGAATTTGCACAACTTTTGATTAGAACAACAGTGAAGAAACTATTAGCATTTAAAACAACGAATTAAAACAAGAAAGGGGTCACACCCACTTAGGCTAAATCACATAACCAGAGATTTGAAACTTTCAAAATAAATTAGTAAACAACGTTATGCCAGAATATTAATTTCAATAAAAATCCCTAATCTAGAAATGAGAATTAGTAAGCAAGAAAGTACACTCAAAACCCTACGTTTACTAAGCTTAGCAGAAACAGGAGGAAGCGTCCTTCGTGACTACAATTAAACACAAGATAAAGTTTGACTCAAGAAATATGTTTAAAGGGGAAAGTAGAACCTTTTGTCAAGGATCGGTGGAGATCCTCCACTCAACGCCTTCAAAGTACTCTTCGATTGCTTCCACCAAAGTGTCTAGAATACGCTCTATGTAATCTTCAACGGTGTGATTGTCATGACCCAGCCTGACCAGAACGAATCCTATCGCGTTGAGTCGCGACGGATGAATCCAGGATCTAGCTTTGAAATTTGCTTTCAGACTTTATTCCAATAATAAGACATACAGAAAACACATAGCTAATATAAACATCCAAATATACAGAAAAGTTCATCCTTGATTTTCTTCTTTCTTTCATCAAAATAATCATGTATATTACAGTGCATGGCTCTAAGCAGAGAGTACAGAACAAAACAGAAAACTCATAACTGTACAAAAATCAAAAGTACACAAAAATACCTAATCTCATATCAGAAACTGAACCGCTAATCCAAGACCTCCTTCCATTTCCCAGAACTTGAAAACCATGAAAATAACAATGATGAGCTAACAGCTCAGCAAGACTACACTAGCCAATCAAACTCTCCAGAAATTCTCATATCAAAATACTCATAATGCGTTAAAAACATTTGTTGTACAAAATTCAGATAATCGTATGATATCAGACAGAGGTCAGAGATTCATACAGAACAGAAATCAAACAGAATACTTACATTCGTACAGAAGAAATGAAATCACAGAGACAGAAGATCTGAATCAAATTTACGACACAGAATTATCCAAATCAGAATTCAAATAACATCCAAAGTTCAGAAAAGATATCAGAAAACTTTCAAATCACATTTCATCACAGATTTCCCTGACCCAGACAGAATCTCAAAGGATTCTGACCCCTTATGTCTCCCTTCCCTGACACAGACAGAATCTCAAAGGATTTTGGCCCCTTATGCCTCCCTTTATGCTTACAGCACTAGAACATATCAGATATACAGAATTGTCAGATCAGACTTATTTTTTTCGGATT